ACGGGCCGGGCTTGGGCCCAAAAATATTTTCCGGGTTTGGGTTTGGGCCCAGCAAAGCCCGGCCCGGCCCGGCCCATTCCCTACCCTACTATAAATGCACATTCACTGTGCACTTAAAGAGGTTTGACAATCTTATGATAAGACCCAATCTAGCAGATTTTTTAGGGTTTGCGTCCTGTAAGTTATAAATTCAAAGGCCCAATGATAGGCTTTCTCTCGGCAACAACAATTTATTGCAAGACGATTACATAAAATTGCAAAAATGGGAACCGAACTATCATCCAAACGTTAATGATCAAAATTTCAAACTAATTTCATTCGAACGACTTAACATCCCTAGAGATACTATTTATGATAAGCATATAGGTTTAAAGATTAAAACAAGTATATTACCAAGTAGTTCAGCTCTTAATAAAATATTCAATTTATATCGATATTTAATATATAAAAAAAAAACCTTTTTTTATAAAGCTATAATGGTCAACCGATTTATAAAAGATAGAAATCTTGGTTATACAATACATAATTATATACAAACGGTTAACAATAATGCCTTTAAATATTCAAATTATAAAATGTACACGACAAACGAATTAAATGTTTAGTAATAATTTATTCTTACTATACATGATAGTTGCAATCACTCGGACCCTCGGTCAGAAGCATCGTCATCTGTTTCCTCCTGTCCAAATTATATATTGTACAAGACTTGAATTATTACAGTAAATTCACAGAAAAAGCACAATAAATGAGTGTTGAAGCGAAAATCTGTACTATAATCAGTTACAAGTTTTCACTTGGCAACACTCGAATTGAATCTACTAAGTAAATATGAGATCATGGACAAATACCTCTATTTGATGCTTTACACGAATTATACGACGACCAGTAGGATTAAATATGCCTCTGGAAGCACGAGCTTTACGACCCTCTTTAACGTCATCTGCAATAATATTACCAACGTCCATCGAGTTTAACTCCGCCTCAAGTTCTCGTCGTTCACGAACCTTCTTACATTTTTCCAAAGTTGGTCGACCTATGATAAAAACATAGGAATCGTTAATTTTGAAAAACTTTTATCAACCATTAATTATCAAAAAAACAAACCTTTGATACCCAAGTCTCTAAGAATTTTATTTAATCTGTCGATTTGGCTTGAGATAGTGTCACAATCAGCTAGTTCTCTCGACCTAAAATTTAATACATCATACTAAATGTTAATGTCTATGCTATCGAACGGATGAATGAATGCAAACTTGAAACATACCAGACTTTACGTACTCCACATTTCACAATAAACGCTTTCAGTTCTTTGATAGTTGCTTCATCATCATCGTTAGGCTGAGACAAAGACAGTCGCATTAATTACATGAAGGATTATAGAAACATTATTTAATTATTACCGAAGCGACTTGCGCGTTTTTTCCTTTTCCAGTCTTGCGCTTCTTTGGCGGATCATCCTCAAGCTCGCTGTGACTATCACCGATATTAGAACTCGGGCGTTTAATTGTAGTGAATTTTGCCTTTCTCACTTTTTTTGAATATTTCATACTCATTGTCAGATACCTCAGCGTCATTAGATCGTTTTGATTCACTATTAATATCATTTTCACTATCATCTTCCATATTACTGTTGGCGGACATGTCATGTTTGAACTCTTTCGTCTGGGATTTATTTAAGACTTGGTCTGATTCTTGTGCCACTTTGTTCTCGAGGGCCATTACTGATCCACCATCCTCAACAATATCATTGTCTTTAAAGTCTTCTAAAATAAACAGTCTTTTAGATGGTTTTGCTTAATTCGTATTTAAAAGTAAGGCACTCAACAATAGTTATCAGAAAAGAACGTTCTGTAGAGCCCTTCAACTATGTAGCACTATTAGGAAAAATTAAAAAGAACCTGAAGAAAAATGATCTACATTTTTAAAGAATTATAGGTATAACTTATTTCAATAAACTATCTAAAAGAAGGTTCAGTCATCGATTAACGGATAAATCCTCGGCTTCTCCGATGCTTAAATGAACTATTACCCGTCCGAGGAACTAGCGTGCGATTACCTACTAAACTGGAAAGTAAATCACTAAACTAGCCCGTTATCCGAAAAATTTCATTAAGGGAGAATGGATTGCCATCTTCAGACACAGAATCCTCTAAGGTTAAATTAGTCTTTAATGTCGTTCTTTTATGGCCGCAATTTTCACTACCATTTCATTTTCATTAAACGAAAATTCCTTTGTGCTTAAACTGTGCTTGGGATTCTTTGTTTCTCTAAAGCCTTATGTTATTCTGAATCCACCTTAACTCCTGAAGTCGATATAATAAATTTCAAATTTGATGTTGCTGATGTTTAGATTCTTCTCCATGTGTTTTTTTTTTTTTTTTTTTGTTTTCAGCGTCTTAAAAGTGGTGATTTATTCTCTCCTAATGAACTTTTTCAGATAACAGGCTAGTTTAGTGGTTTACTTTTCGGTTCAATGGATAACCTCGACGTCAACTCCTCGAGCGATATGGTTCTTAAACATCAGTGAACCCGAGGATTATCCGTTTATCGATGAAATTTTCACTATGAAATAATTTTTTTAGATATTTTATCGAGATAAGTTCTACCTTTAATTCTTTAAGAACGTAGATTATTTTTCTTCAGGTATTTTTTTAATTCCCCTGATAGTGCTAAATCATCAAAAGTTTCTATAGAATTCATGCTGTAACATTATTTTAGACAACTATTGCTTGGGGGTGCCTTACTTTTAGATTTATCATAAGTGGAAGATCTTATTCGATTGAACTGCAGAGCTTTTCTTACCAACTCTTCCAGGTTTTGATCTTGATGAATATTCACTAGATACATCCTTTGATTTCTGTAATAACAATTACAGAAAGTTTGCGATTGTCATACATCAAAGAAATGATTATACTTCTCGTTATACTCACCGAATTCTGGATCGCTTCCTCGACAAACCCACGTATAAGATCCTTCCAAGGTTGCTTATCTAAGAATTTATCTGTTAATCCGAGTTTAGCTTCGGCATCCCTTCTTACTTGTTTAATAGTTATTGTCCTTTATGAAATGTAATTGTCATTTGAATTTAAGCCCTATGTTATGTTAACATATACGAAGGAACTTCCTCAACTAACTTTAAATCTGCCGAATGCACAATAGTTTGACAAGCTTTCTTTAGCGTAATTTCGTTAAGTTCGACGTCAGTAACTCGCTTATTCCGTGTTGCCATTTCTCGATACATATATATATGTATCCTTTTTAGACGACTCACTATAGATATATTTATATACTGTTAAAAAATGATAGCAATAATGATATACTATGCAATCGTTAATGGGGATTACGAAATCATCTTCGAATATTACCTCAATTAGAAGCAGAAAAATCATCGGCATGAACGAAAAAGTTGAAGTCTTATATAGCGATAGGAAACAATGTATCAAATCAAAAATAAAATTGACCAATAATATAACAGAATCTATGTTTAAATGTTTAATGCCAAAACAAAGATCCGACGCGAAAAAATTTCTTGTACGTACGTAACAAAAACAATATATTTCTCCAATCGGATAATATGTTTATAAAACTTAAAATATACGTACTATATATCTAAAATAACTTCTATTATTTTAAGGTTTTAATTCAAACAAGAAATTAATAGAATTAAAAGTTTAATAAAAATATATGGTTTTAAGTTAGGCCATGCAAAATTAACTGATTGGTTTTCGTGACCCAGCCGGGTCAAATTTTTTTTTAATAACCGGATAGATTTTATTTTATCTGAAATTAGAAAAAAGCCAGCCGATCGGGTCTATTTAAAAGTTTCAAATATGGATAATTATTTTCGAACCCAGACCAATTTTGAAGTTACACATACAGTATTTATTATTATCGTTATGTAATAAAGCAAGGCTTGCATAGGAGGAAGATAATCGGATTCAAAGCCATTATCGTTATTAGCTATTATCTTTACTTTGTGCCTTACTTCAAACATTATACATATTATATTTTTATCTTTTATAAAAATCCATTTTATATTACAAAAGGGATCTCTTGTAGTATAGTGACATTTACTAAAATGGGGGTCTTTACCTTGAAAATCGGTTGTTGCTCAATTCGCCGAAAGCGACAGGTCACTTACCCGACATCATATAGGGTTAGGGTTAGCATATTGATTAGCTGCAGGTATATATTTTTAGCAATTTGTCACCCTTGTTCGAGGTAGGACCGTCCCAAATATGGAAACTATGGTTTGACTCAGGACCGCCGATCTGCATATCGATTCAACCAATCAAAATTGCGAATTTTGACTATAAGCACGAGTAATAGAATTGATATTGCGGTAAAGTTGAATTGTAAGTTGTATTTGGCTTAGAGATGGGCAAAATTATTATGTATTCTTATTTAATATTACTTAATATTATCAAAGATTTTTCGCAATAGATAATAATAAGTAATTTTACGATCATTCT